CGTGGTGAATGAAGGACAACATGTTTGGTAAAGTAGAGGGTCAGCGAGACAGGGGAAGACCCTCAATGAGATGCATTCACAGAGCAGCTGCGATGATGTGCTCAAGCATGACAATGGTTGAGAGGATGGTGCAGCACCAGGCAGTGTTTCCTTCTGTTGCACACAGGGTTGCTATGAATAAGAACTGACTCTACAACACCTAACAATACTGGCTTTACTTGTATTTCTTCTCTTACCGATTAGAACACTATGCTATAGATGAAAAACTCTGTTTTATAGATGAAAATACTGAAGCACAGAAAGTTGAAGTACCTTACCCACAGCAACAAAAGTAAAAGCAAGGTGAGTAAGAATTTGAACCCAGGTAGTATGACTCCAGAACCTGCTCTCTTAACAGCCTTCTCTAGGGAGTAAGAAGAAACAAATAGCTTGCTAATGGAACTTATAGGTAATATTAAAGTTGGCATATTATAAACATTAGAAAAGGAGTAATTGTAATTTTTTCTAAGAAATATGGGTACAAGACTTTGGAAAGGGCTATGGAACTTGTAAGGGGTATAAGGACTTCAAATGAATGTCAAAAAGAAATTCCAGTGGAAACATCAATGGAAAAAGCCAGAGTTTATTATTTCTACGTGGATTATCCTCAGCATCTGGTTCAATAGGAGTGCTTCCCTTATGAGTACGTAGTGGTTGTATATACTCAGTGAGGCCAGGCTAATTTCGATGTTATTTAAAGACAAGTAAAATCAGAAATGGTTAGCTCCTGAAGTCTCAACTGAGTCTGCAATGACATCCCACAGATAGCTTTGAATGCTTCCTATATTACCTGGGAGAGGACTACACCAGGTGACGACAGAGAAAGGTGTCACTGAATGAAGCACACCTCAAAGGCACACAGGATTATGGATGAAAGTTTTGAAGAAGAGGTCAAGGGCCAAACTTAGGCAGGTGGCCGTGACAAAAGGTAGATTCCAGATACACTGCTAAGGAAAAGTTAACTGAACACAGTGACTTTGAATTGTTTCCTTATATTATTAAGTTATTGACAGAACAAGACAGGCTAGGGAAGGATGCTGGTAGAGAGCAGGGACTGGAGACATTTTTCCAACATGTGGCCTATGAGACAATGGTAAAATGCCCACATGGAAATGTCTGGCAGATAGCTGGAAGTCGTGGGGCTGGAAGGCAGGCACGGCGGTGCTCAGAGGGGAGAGTAGGAGTCAGTAGTAACGCATGGATTCTCAGCCAACACTGAGAAAAGAAGAGACGAGAGGAGAAATCTGTACTCTGAGCTGGGTGATGAGACATCCTGAGGGTCCCACAAAAAGCTAAGATGTCCAGCTAAAGGAATAGTCAAAAGAAAACCAAGATAGGTGAGAGTGCCACGGAAGGCCAGGACCAAAGCATCTGAGTGAGAGGGAATCGGTTCTATCAAAACTGTGCCTTGGGGTCAATGGACCCCTTGCTAATGGTTTGAAGAGGGCCCTAGTGGTGTGTTTGTTTGGTTTCAGTTGCTCCCTAAAGGTGCAAACCAGAGGCTCAGAGCAGGGGGTTACTGTAGACCATTCCCAGTGGTTCAGGGGAAAGGGAAAGGAGAATAGCAGCCACAGAAAGGATTATAAAATACACTTTCAACAGGAGCCTTTGAAAGTAGATTTAGCAAGACGTTAATGTTCTTTTTTTTTTGCATAGGTCCCTAATATCTTTTTCTTAAAGGAAGCCCCCTTCCTTCCTTCAATTATATACTTACATATGTTCCAGGCCCCATAAAACCTGGACTGGCCCCTAGAGCCATAGTGAATGAAATAGAAAGAGATACTCCCTCTATACTGATAAAACCAGTCCTGAAAATGACTTTGCAGTTGAGGAAAAATGAGAAAGAGGGAAGAGGGGCTTGATAGGAGGACAATGAGGTAAATTCCCAAATATACTGTAAGGGACTGTGGTTTTTCTGGTTAGTCTAGTGAGATGCTCAGTAGATGCTTATACGAAACAACATGGCTGGACTAGGAGAAGGCTAGCTGGAGAAGGACAGGACACATTAGGATTTAAAGACTGGTGAAAATGGATGTGGACAGAGTGCAAGGTTGCTTTGGCTTCAGTACTACTGAGTCAGCATGAGAGGAGACTGAAGGACATAAAGATACAAGGAAGTGGAGCCAGTACGCCATTTCCTCCCTTTTCCCTCACAGGGGTGCATCTGGAAGTCAGAGGTCAAATCATCCACCCTACAAGGAGCGAGGGCTCTACAAGGTCAGAGGAGCTCAAACTGCAGGCTCATTGCCTTCCGTTGAGAAGTCAGCATTCCAGAATTTACTCCTGCTGTATCAGGGGTTTCTAGCGAGACCACAGTCACCATGCTTTTATAACATCTCATCAATCTCTGCTTCTATTTTTTCCCTTCATTATCTAGCCTATGGCAGGCCTGGCCATGGTCTAATACAGAAACAGGCACATTCTTTAGGAAACCAAAGAAAGGAGTTCCTGATGCTATTTCTGAGCCAAAAAAAAAAAGAACTCCAAAAACCCCAAATCCACTGCCATTGAGTGGATTCCAACACGCAGCAACACTTCACTTCAGGGCAGAGTAGAACTGCTTCCTAGGGTTTCCAAGGCTGTAAATGTTAGCATAGTGGCTAAGGCACTTGACTGCTAACCAGAAGGCTGGCGGTTCAAACCCACCAGCCACTCCTCGGAAGGAAGGTTGGGCAATCCTACTTCCGTAGTGATACTGCCTCAGAAACCCAAGGAGGGGTCGCTATGAGTCAGGGCTGACTCGACAGCACATAACAAAAACAACAACAACAAAATGTTTACAGACGTCAACTGCCTCATCTTTCATCAGCAGAGTGGCTAGTGGGTTTGAACTGCTGATCGTTTGGTTAGCCGCTGAATGCTTTAATCACTACACCACCCAAACCAAAAAGCACTGCCATCAACTTATTCTAATCCATAGCAACCCCCACTGGGTTTCCAAGGCTGTAAATCTTTACAGAAGTAGATTGCCTCATCTTTCTCCCATGGAGCAGCTGGTGGGTTTGAACTGCCGACCTTTTCTGGTCAGCAGCCCAATGCCTTACACACCAAATGCCATCACAGCTCCTTTCTTCTGAACAGGGGTCCTATTAACTCCAGACAAGCAACAATTTGATGAGATAATTCTACATTCCAAAATATAACTATATCCAAAGTACAAATATATTTTTGATGTAATTAAGACACACTTTGTTTTCACTTACCATGTCATATTCTATTTTCTTATTCCAAAGACGCAAGGTTTTTATTTGATCAGCATGCATTTTACTGTGCATCTACTATGTACCAGGCACTAGCTGTATGGGGCTTCAAGAACAGGTCCTTTAAGGAACTTATTTTTAATTTTCAATAATGTGGTTATTTTAATAAATTGCGGTTTAGAGAAGCCTTTAGTTACGCTGTCTTTCACACATCACTGCTCATTTGGTAGCAACAAACCAAAGCCTAATAATAAAACCATATCTAGCTAGATTTGCCAAAGTGGGTCTGACATCTCAAGTGATATGGTGCAAACTTCATAAGGAAAACTAGCGCACAGAAGCCTTAGAGCATCTTGTATGGGGCCAGCAGTATGACAAAGAATGAGTTCAGAGGATTAGAAAATCAGCAAGGTAGGACATTTTAGCAAGGAGGCCAAAACCACAGGTCACTAGGCTGGAGGGAGGGTTTTCATGGGTGGTTTAACCAAACACCTGTCTGTAGGACTAAGGATTCATGCAACTGACTGCTTATCAAGAGTACTGGCCATCAACAAAAGGCAAGCATTTCAAGGAGAGTCGTTGTTGTATTGTTAGTTGTTGTATTGTTATGTGCCATCGAGTTGGACCAGACTCATAGCAACTCCTCCTTGGGTTTCCAAGGCAGCATCACTATGGAAGTAGATTGCCCCATCATCCTTCCGAGGAGTGGCTGGTGGGTTTGAATGGCCAGCCTTCTGGTTAGCAGTCAAGTGCCTTAGGCACTATGCTACCAGAGCTCCCTCAAGGGGAGTTACATACCCGTAAAATTTTTTATTAAGCAAAATTTCAGTCAGGTGTATTCCCAGATTGCAAGCAACTGCTAAGTAAAAATGCAGCCAACATCAGAGAGATTTTAACTACTGAATGTCAAAGTTTCCCATTTTCAGGCTCAGTGGAGAGGTGGCCTAACCCACAGGCAGAAGCTGCCTTCAGAAAGGACAGCTCCACACGGCCTACAGTGGTGCCACTTCAGCTTTCCTGCCAATGTGCTCCCACCCAAGTAGTGCCAACTTCTACCCCTGAGGGTCTACCAACAGCTGGCAGACTCAAGTGTCATCTTTAAATTCTGCACATCACAGTGAAAAGTTAAAAAATGAAATAAAATTCTCTAAAATTAATGTAATCAAGTTGTAATGTAATGTATTTCCAAGTTTATTTTAACTTGTCAGGCACTGTGCTAATAATTCAGCATAAATGATCTCCTTCACTTCTCACAGGAACAGGCACTGTTCTGTCACCATTTTACGGATGAGGAAGCTTCAGCTCAGAGAAGTTAAGAAGTTTTTCCAAAGCTACAAAGTCAGTAAGTGGTAGAGATAGGATTCTAGCCAGCAGAAGCTTCTCATCCTTCTGGTCCATTATATGCCACTCTAATGTATAATAATATAACTCTTTTGACTCAATTATCTGTCAGGAGGCAGCAAACATTTTCTGTAAAGAGCCATATACTAAATATTTTAGGCTTTGTGGACCACATACAGTCTTGTCAGCTGATACTACTCATTTCTGCCATCACAGAGTGAGAACAGTCCTTGATGGTACATAAGGGAATGGCAGTGCTTGTGTTCCAAAATAATCACATTTACTGAAACACGGTGCAGGTCAGATTTAGGGCATAGCTTGCAGATCCCTGATAAGTCAAACTCATGTTCCAGATGTTGGTGTCAGGTGACATAAAGTTGGTTCTGACTCACAGAGACCCCACGTCCAACAGAACAAAACACTGTCTGGTCCTGCACCATCCTCACAGTCATTGCTCTGTCTGACCCAACTGTTGCTACGGAGTCAATCCATGTCATTGAGAGTCTTCCTGCCTCTCCTCAAAGTGACATCTTTGCGTTTAACAGATAGATATGCCATATTTATCCCTATGGCTTTGCATATTTCCCTATTCTAGTTTGGGAAGAATAGGTCCAAAGAAAACTGATTTAAAAAAAAGAAAAAGAAGAGAGTAGCCAATGCAAGATGGGAAAGAGACTTCCTTTCCTGTTCAATCCTTTCCCACTCAGTCTAATAACAATGGTAGGGGCATGTGTGGCCCTCCCTTCACACCCTCAGCTGAATGTCTTCTGCTTTCCTCATGCCCCATGGACCTGCTCCTCTTTGGGCTCCTCTCATCCCCCTGTAAAGGCCAGAGCCGATCTTCCCAGCAGTGTGACTCTCTCTA